CAACAATCGTCGTTAAATTTTGGAAATAAGTACTAAAAGCCAGGGATACAAATTAGCGTTCACGCCGTCATCGCGGCGGTAAGACCCGTTATGGAGGATTGGCTCGAGAGGCGTCACGGGACCCTCTCACATCGACTGACGCAGGTAATCACTGGGAAAGGATGTTTCGGGGATCACCTGTGTCTGATCCGCAAGGAGCCAATGCCTGAGTGCCACCACTGCGATGGCCAGACCGTGGACACGCCTCTCCACACGCTGGCAGAGTGCCCGGCGTGGGTTGAGCAGAGGCGAGACCTCGTGGCGGCCATCGGAGTGGGAGTTCTCTCGCTCGATAGCCTGATTGCGGCTATCGTGCGGAGCGAGAGTGCTTGGAACTCTGCCGTCTCCTTCTGCGAGTAAGTTATGCTCGCGAAGGAGACGGCGGAGCGGGACCGGTAGAGGTTCAGAACTCTGCCGGCCCGTCAGGCCCGGGAATGGGCCAGGTACCGCAGGCGACTCAGGCGTCGGAGGTCGCAGAACGACCTCCGTCCTCCATAAGCGCAGGCCTAGGGGTGACAGGTGAGGCCATCTGTCCAGCACCCTAGCAGAAGCAGGCTGGGGTGGCGGCGAGCGCATTGCGAAGCGCGCTCGCTCGAGGGAACATGGGGTTCCCACACGGGGGGGTCGTCTACTGGTCTATAGATGGCCTGAGGTATGTCGGGGCACCAGGGACTTCCTTTCTAGGGTATACCTGAATCCCCGGTTATTAGTACCGGAGACGGCGTGCGGTTTTAGTCGGTTCGTGTCCGACATGCCACCGATAGGTGGTATCCGAGGGGATTTCCGCACGAAAAAAAAACAAAAAAAAGGGATACAAATTAGGACATCTCTTTTATTCAGAAAAAAAAACTTTATATTTTGTACCTCTGAACCGTAGTTAAAAGCTAATTTTAAACTGAAAAACTACAGCGGAGTTTTTGTTCCTTAGTTTATATTTCAAAAATACCATACCTACCATAAATGGCCACAACAAAACAATTTTCTGTGGTGTTTATTTTATATAGTCAAAGGTTTCCTGTCCTTAAAAAGAAAATAGTAACATTTGCATCCGTATCCTCCATGGTCTCTAAGAACTCTCGTGACCCTTCCACCACACCTAATATTATAAAATAAATTATAAAATCTGAAAATCGGTATCGGTGATACATATTTATTTCTTAATCCATCCCGTCTGTACTATTTTCTTAAGACTGTACAAATGACTGGAGGTTTTTAAACGTTGGCCAAAACCTCCTTTCTAAGGAGAGGCCCTTTGTCCATCAGTTGACTATTAAAGGCTTGACAACAGCGATGATGATGACGATGATACAAATGACAAAACGGAATTAATGCGGCCAGCCAGGCACACAGATTTTAGAACTTTAGGTACACAGGTATTTTTATATTAAAAATTAAATACAATTTATATAAAACACCCGTACGTTGTTTATGTTTCAAGTTCTTGTCATAAGCTTTTCATACAGTCTCAAAAAGGTCAAAATTTTAAGGCAATGCCGTTGTACGGGGGAATTCATATCAGTCTTAAAATAGATATTTTTCCTATTGAGTGGAACCAGGTAAGATGAGCGGAAGTTTTATATGGCTCTGTGGATGACCTCTCATATTTTATTTTTATATTACATAAATGACCTTATCGGTGAACATTAGTGTGAGTCAATAACATCAGTTGTGCGCTATATGGTCTTGATGTCATTACAGGCTGCTATATAATACACTCAAATCTTGAAGTCCTCCTTGTTAAATATAGGCACTTTAAAAATGTGTTTTTATTCCACCATATTTTTTTGATGTCAAGTTTCAGGTGTGTGTTTTAGGAGGTGTGGAGTGGTATTGGGTTCGGTGGGTTAGATTTCGGCAGCTGTTCAGGAAGGTGTTCATCCTAAAAATAATTGCTTCCTGGTCAGAGTGACTAATCCAGCATAAGAGGATATCATCAGACAGAACTGACAGTATTGTATAAATTATGACAGTATTTTTTTCATTGTCTCGAATAATGACATACATCATGTCATATTTTTAAATGAAATATGGTAAATGACAGATAAATATAAAAAAATTACCTTATAATAAGAAAATTTACTTTAAATTTATTCGTTAAGGTCGCCATGTAGGAAATACCTAGGTAATGCCATTTAACTTAAGGTGAAGAAAACTAACTAAGAGAAACTGTGAGGTTCTGAAACTATGAGGTTTGATTGTTATTAGATATTTGTATAAATTTGATACTTATCTTCTTTACATGTAAAACTACTTGTTCTGAATCACTGACTGATTCATCAAAGCAATGTCTAAACCGCTTTGGCTACGATTTTATGATGTAAGCACCCACTAAGAATGGAATTTTGGAAATTTGACCCCTAATAGGGTCATCATCATCATCATCATCATCAACAGCCTTTAATAGTCCACTGCTGGACATAGGCCTCTCCTTAGAAGGGGGTTTTGGCCTACTATACCACGCTGGCCAGACAGGTTGGTATAGGGTTTGTATCAAGTTTTCCTTAAAAATTTTATTTTATTAAAAGTACTTTTTAAATTTTAGTAATAAACATTAATTATTTACTATAAAATATTAATAAAAGTTAAAATAGATTTAATCATTACTTTCAATCACAGTAATAATTGGTTTGTGATAAGAACAAGAATTGTTGGCAAAAAGTCTTGTTCCAATAAGAAATAATCACGCTAGTGATCACGCCTGTGGCTTTATAGGCAGCCCCGGATCTAGGGGGGGTTCAAACCGGGGCACTCGCCCCGGGCGACAGTTTCAGGGGAAGCCAAAATCATAATAATACGGTTTAAATAAAAATAATATAATTTAATATATTTTTGAGTTTTTTAAGTTATTTAAGTTTCTGCCCCGGTTCGAAAAAATCGTAGTAAAAACTTAGGTAGCCGGCCATTAGATTACGTAAGAAGAAGCAATGTGCTCAGGCTCTTTGAATAATAGAAATACTCCGTGTATTTAATCTCGTTAAAGAGGATGCATTCCTTAAAATATTGGCTAGGGTTAGTTTGGCTCCCGGCTTTGTCATCGTTTGTACATCACCTCGCTGACAATGAGTGGACACTGACATTAGTTTTACTGGCATAAATAATATGTACTTACTCCATATTTTGGTTTGAAAAGTAATCCATATCCAAGTTCGTAATAGAACTGCGAAAAGAGTACGAATATACGAAATAAACAACAAATGGCGCACTAGTAGCGCCATTTGTTAGCAGTTGCAGACAAATTTTTAGTTTCACATAGCGATAGTTTCAAGGCGCTGGAGCACTTAATTATATTTAATTACTTGGACGCATTCTAAAAGCTTGATATGAGTTACAGCTTTATAAATTAATTGTAACACGTCCAGTTTTGCACTCAGCCGGATGAACCCTGATAAAATAATTGCTCATATTAATTCATTTTACATCGCGACTTCGTACTGTGTTAACGAGTTGTAGAAATAATTATATTTATAGAGTAATATGCGTGCCAACTCTTAGTAGAAGGTATAATACGAACATGATATACCTACTTGTTTTTATTGTGCACATATTTATTATAGGCTTTTTTTATGACTTCAAAAATACGCAAAGGCAAGGGATGGTCTACCTCTAGTTCTATTTTTCTTGTCAAGTTACGCAGTACGGCAACACTGTTTTATCATTAAAAATATCTTAAAATGTTAAGAAATAACAATACAGTATGTTGTCAAAAATAATTCTTCGGTGTATGATAATAATTTCTATGATCTGCATTCCTTCAAGTTTAAGTAGGTAACATCTGTGAAACTATGTACAGTTTGACCATGATTATCATAAACATTGACTTTTGGTATATGCAGTCAACTCAAAAAAGGGGTCTGTCTTTTTGTTTATAAAACCCTGCCTACAACGTTTTTATTCCTCTCACAACCTGTATCTTCTACAAAGAAATTGTCTTGCATTAAAATAAATTACAATAGCATTGAGTCTTAAAAAGAAATTCTAAAAATATTTCATTGATTAAATAAACATCTAAATAAAAATTTGAGCGACAATTTGAAAAAAATTGGGGGCAAACCAAGTTTTTCAGGCTTGGAAAAATCGGATCCGTAGTTCGTCTGTTTTCAACACACTTTTCTAAATTAACGCGTGCAAGTATCAAGTTGAAATGAACATATTAAATATTTATATTTGAAGACCCCTGAAAGCAGTAACAAAATTAAATGCCTGAAAAAGAGTCTTTAAGTTGTTGATATATTAGATTTTTTTGGGTTTACAAACTTATGTTTTGGAGCTGGTAAATTGTCTGCGACGTGGAGATAGTTAGTATAGAGAAGTATTTTTAGACTGAGTTTGTATTTTAAACATACTCGGAAACTTGTCCGAGTTTTGTGTTCAGAATAACAAAGACAGAAAGAAAAACAGTTATTTTGTCATTCACGGAACAGCACATACTTAATAAAATGAAACAAAAAAACAAAGACAAGTAGTAAAATTTAATTTGTCGAAAGTTAAATTATGGGTCAATAAAGTTTATTTCCAAAAGTAAAACAAACTTAAAATAATACGTTTCTTAATAAATAATAATGGGTAAATATTTCTATTTGTCAATATTTTCTATTACAAAAACTTGTTTATCTGCATAGTAAAATGATTGAACGTGTTTGGTAGGTACGTTTTTATATGTACGATGCTAATCTCTAAACTCTCTTACTGTTTTAAACCCTTCTATCTTTTTAATATATTTATTAATGAACGCACATGCAATAATTAAATAGTTAATTTCTTTAGGCGTAAGGTTTCGCTTCTATTAAATTCATCCTCTGTTGTGGCGTTGGCTCTACGCCAATATTGGGCTTGCGATTTTCCATCATCTTTGTAAACATTATAGCATTCACATTTTTATGTTAACTATAAAAAAACTTATTTATTTGAGGTAGGCGTCAAAAATATCTTAGCGACAGATTTGTTAAGGTTAGTGAACTTACCGGCTATTTGTTCTGCCGGGAGCTCATCGGCCTGAAAAGTAAAATATAAATATAAAACATCAAAAGGCATTTCAATTATTCTAATAACATTGTAGACATAACAAAAAACGTGGCATATTTTTTAATTCTTTGGTATTTTTATAAATCTTGTAACCGTACTGTTATTATCACTGATCTTAATGCTGTACTTGTTTTAAATGATTCCTGTACAATCGTTTAAAATCTATTTTTGCATTTTACTTAAAATAATTAATAAATATGCGGATTGAACTTATTGAAATACGCTAATAGTACATTATTTAATATGAAATATTCTAAACAAACGTGTTAGACGCAAGTTTTCCCTGGTATTGCGTTACGAAAGCATAATAAATTTATTTTATGTGCAATTGAAACCAAAATAGACGCGTGGCTCTTGCATTCTTGATACACGGCCGATTTTGAGACGGCTCGTAATTCTTTTAACTTAGCGATTACAAAAATTTATCGGATTTCTTTTTTACTTATAACTCATCACAGTTTAATAACTGTGCAGTTATTGAACTGTTATGAGCGTCTAAAATTTATTAAAAGCTGGACCAAATATTAGTTTTACTATTTTTTAAGTTTTTGAATTTATGAATTACTCTTCTCAATCGTACCCGTACATCGTACCATCGTCATCTAATCACTGTTTGTAAAAAATAAATAAAGTACTGTACATATTAACTAATGTATTTAATTATTTTGATGAAGATAATAAAATAAATAATGTAAATAACAAACAAAAAATAAATCTGTTAGACTACAAATCGGTTAGTTTGCTTAAAATATAAGTAATATTTTAGTTTTACACAAAGCGAAGCAAACTAAGTAGATCTGTTTATTATTTACATTATCTATTTATCTTATCAGTCTGGTATTTGAGTTTAAAGTAAATGAGCAACTAAGTTACATGACATGTCGTATACATCATATTTTCATTGTGGAATTTAATTAAGTCATTAAATGTCAGCATTAAGTGAAAAACTGTATTGTACTATAGTTGTATAACATTGTAATGTACAAAAGTTTTAAAACCATTGAAAAATGTTATTGTTGTTATTTAAATATTCTGAATTTCATTTCTCCATTAACTTGACAGGTGAACAATGTTTCTTGTCATGTTTTAGGATAGGTTTATTTAGCTGTTTGAAAATATAATTTGGTTGTCAACGCTTCTAGCGGCTGTCAGTCACCCGCGAAGTTGTTTAATCATTAACAAGAAATGCACCTGACAGAATCTGTTGGCGCCCACTCATCAGCTTTCACTGTTTGTTGTCATTGGAGAGTAACTATTTAAAATTTTAACTAAAAAATACATCGAGACATCACTTTAATATTTTTAATATTATGTTAATATTGAATTTTATTTTCAATTTGCGGAGACACCTACCCAGTCTTCAGTATCCAGAACCATGTTTGATGTCACTTGTTAACACTATGAGACGCACAACACGACTGTCCGCTAGTCTGAGGTTTCCAGCGTTTAGGGTTATTTCTGCTGCTTCACGGGTTAGGCTCGCCTTTCTGCTACTTTCATATATAACGGGCGGTGTGTGCGGTGTGCGGGGGGCCCCTTTGGCCCCCGAATCCTCCCCAGCTTCCTGCGCGAGCGTCGACCAATAGCGTGAGCCTCAAACGGCAGGATGCTAAAGTATTTTTAGTAGAAACGTGGTTATGAAAAACGTAAACAAGCGATGCGTGCGATGCTGAAGCGTGTAATATACCGCTTTCCCCCCACAACCTCACCACCGCCTCAACGACCCTGCTCCAACTCTATCGTAAATGCGAATAATTAGGTATAATGTTAAAGTCATTTGTTAGGTGTAGGTATGGTATAATTATGATATACATGTAACAAGCTACAGTTTAACGGTTTTCGATTTAACAGTTTTTAATTAATATCGAAATGAATTTTATTGCTGTCTACCTACTTTAACGGTTTCTGAGAACTGAAGCTCTTTTTTTAGTTTAAATATTAGCATTCTACTTCTGCGAATTTGCAAAAAATAATATTTTACTTTATAGCACATATCACATAAAGTTTTCATTATCATTTTTAATTTTCTAAACTCTCTTAATTCCTTCCTTGTGCGCCAGTCCTTACTTTTTCAATTTACTTCAATGCCAGCTAACCAACTGCACTTACTCTTATCTTAGTTTGTATTGGATGTTAAATTCATTAACATATCATGTATTCTGGTATTATTTTGTTCTTTACCAATCAACATTTGATTGAGCCATAAAAAAGCGGGCATCAAAGAGTGACGTCAGTGGTCAATGCGTACAAGTTCTGTTAGTAATCGGCATACACCTGCTAGTACCTAGTTTGTTTCGGTGGGCCGCAAAGAATCAGCTAGAAGCTATTTCTGGAAATAAAACTATTCGTGTACGTGTACATGTTTTAGTGAAACAATTCTAATTAATGAGAGTATTATTATTATTAAGTATATGGTGTGTCTAAACTTAGACGGTTATCCATTTTCATAATATTTTAGATGATGACTATGAAATTATATTTGTTGGCAGATTTTTCATTTTTCGGTTCATCAAGATTGTTTTTTTTTGCATAGAAACAGTCTAATGGCTAGAACGTAAGGGGTACTTATTATTAGATATACACTGTGTATATATATAAGAAAATATAAATATGTGGTTTGTGAAAAACAGTTATTTTTCTATAGAATGAGATTATCGTTAGTATCTCATTTATTATACATACTTATTTAAAAGTCCTACCTATTGATCAAGTATCTACTACCTCATCATTCGTACTATCTTTTACAAATGTTTCTTTCTAGGCTTCCTAATGTGGATCTTCTGAAACATTTTAAGCTCTTAAGCTTGGAGTAAGACGCACATTACTTATGTTAATGATGTTGTACGGCATATACAACAACAAGTATAATTGTACGGAATTATCAAACAGGCTATATTATGTAGTACCCAGGACTGTTATTCGTAGGGAGGCGCGCGTACCTCTATTGTTCTACAAGGCAAAGTGTAGAACTAATGCTGGAGAGCGTGCACCTCTTCGCCGATTATTAACATACCTAACGTACCTACAACTCACATTTTATTAACTGGAATATTTTCGCTTTCACTCACTCTAAATTAAAAAAAAATGCTATAGAAATTCTTACTGATCAATGATGACATTTTTTAATTAACTATCTATCTTATATTATAACATATAATTCACCTATTTTGTACAGTGCGCGTCCGTTACTTGATCTACTCCAGCTATAACCTCGTGGTATATATATAAACGTAACGTTCGTTATAGATATGCAAATTCTAAATTACTTTTAAAGACTGCAATATATAACTGTTTATGTCCCAAAAAAATAAAATAGAAATAAAATAAAGACTGATTAAAATACAGTTGTCAATAAATTTAGAAAATGCCTGTGCGTGCGTTGTACTCGTAATGTCATTGAACCATAAAAATATAATGTATTAATATTAGACACTACGATCTTTATTTCAACAATTCTATTCTTATTTATATTTCGTTGAAATATTTCAGAGATTTGCAGGTGTAAGTGTTGACGAATTCTTTACTGCTAATTAATAATTTTATAATCTTAAATGCAACGGTAATTTGTACTGTTGCATATAATAGTATCTGGTGGAAACAGGCAGTATCAAATAGTTGATTTTATTATATTAATTTTTGAAACACAAATTATAAAGTTTATTTTGAGAATTGTTTGATAGTAATAATTATTATCATTGTTTAATATATATCGAATGTTGTATTAAAAACAAAGCTTTTAATTATAGCATTTAATTTGTTGGTGTAAGCTCTTTTTAATGTAAACTTTAAAATCGGCGTCAGTATAATCAAAGCCCGCTTCTTCATATCTCTTCAGTCAGTTTGTTACTTATCTGTACACAAGACGCACCAAAACATACTGTAGAGTTTTTTTTAACTTTTAACATGTAACAAAAAAAGAAAACAAATTAATATCGAGGAAAAATCGCAAAGACTTGGCGAACGAATAAGGTGTATCACAATCGACAATTTCAACCATTTGGAAAGATTGAGAAAAAATTCAAACCCTTCATGACAGCATTTGTTTTTGAAAATGAAACGAGCCAGAACAACGAAGCATACGAAGATTGAGGAAGCTTTATTAAAGTGGTTTAAATATTAAGGAAAAAACAATATGCTAATAAATGGACCAATTCTTCAACAAAAAGCAAACGATTTTGCTCAGCGATTAGAAAGATAGTTGGATTCAAGGTTTCGGGTTTCCTTGCGGAAAAAACTGAACAGTATTTTCTGGTCGGCTTTTTCACCAACAATGATTTCTGTCGAAACTTTGTAACATTTTTTTCCAAAGTATTACAAGTTGTTTTGATACTGATAAGAACCAATTTGTTGTCTTAAGAACTGTCTTTTCGACGGTTTATCTTAATTTTCTTTTGCGTTTAAGCTTTTGAAACGGTGTGCCATATTCTAGTAAATGATCAATTCATTAAATTCAAACTAAGTACTGACATTAGCCACTTAATACGAATATTCGGATCTTAATATATTTGAATCATAGCTATATGCAATTTATCAAGCCAAACAAAAGAAAAGTCTATTAAACATGTTCCGAATAAATAATCCATCAACACAGATGATGCATATTAAAATGAATGAAAAATTGGCACGGAATTACTTTTGCAGCAATAACGTCCTTTGGTACCCCGGTCATTCCCCTGGTGATTTCCACGTTGACAAAAAAATCTCATTTAGCACAATGATAAATACCAAGACTGTTTTCTATATGCCATGTACTTATGTTCACTTATTTATATTCTATGTATATATTAGTGCGATTTTAATCTTGAAAAAATCATCTGTGTTTTTTAACCCATATTTTTCAAGACTTTGGCACTTGTTTATTGTGAAAAGAGCATTTCAGTTTCGAAGTGATTGATTCACGTCTTGTATCTAAAACTGGATGCTACAGACTGTTGTGCTACAGAAATGAAATGGAACTTGGAACTTAACATTGCACTTTAATGAATGAAGTACTAAAACTGGAATCATTATATTTAATTGGAAGTTGTTAGTTTTGCTACGAAAAAAGATGGTACTTAGATGTGTTTAAATGTAACGCGTGGCGTATGTAACTTACAGAAGTCTATTGGTAAAGACTATTTAGCAGACTAACATTTACTGACAGCAGTAAATCAGCTATCAGTTGATTGTTTAATTAAACTTTCCTCTATCTCTCTCTCCTTCGAAATGACACAGCTGTATTTTGGAGGCTAAGTTTGACAATGCATAAGTCTTTAAAGCTCAAAAAAATCTGTCCTTAGCGATATGAATAACGTCTGAATGTCTGTCTGTCTGTAATGTCTGAATACTTTAGTTGAATATATTTTTCCCTTTGCCTTACGATCACGTAAAACAATGCCGTCACAACTTTGTTTTACGAAATCCATGTCACATTGGCACTTGTTTATAAAAAGTATTTGGTTCCATATTTCTAACATAAATATATTAAATACTAGCTGGTACCTCGACTTCGTTTGCGTTTAATTTGAAATTTTCTGAGAGGAAAAATGGCCTAAGTTACTCCTTATAGACAGCTACCTGGTCGTAAAATATTATCAAAATCGGTCCAGTCGTTTAAACGATTACCCGGAACAAATAGACATATAGACAGACAAAAAAAAACTCTTTTTTAGACATAGATATTGTGCAAATAACCGTGTGAGCACGAAAAAAACTATTATATTAACATTACAAACAGACACTTACTTTTTTTATTTTAATAGATTTTTTACGACGAAAAAAACAACCTTTCTTTACTGATTCCTTTGTAACGTTTGATTTTACAAAGCTTACAACATAACGGATACATAAAAAACACACAGACTTCGAACAAATATATTCAGACCACACTGCTTGTTGGCCTTTTTATAACCAAACCCCCAATACTCTTTAAAGATCGACCATTCATGTACACTTTATTAAGTAGCTGAAATATCAAAGTATTGCATCTAACTGCATCCATAGGCTTTTGCCAATACATTGCCAATAGGCGATATGGCTAATAAGCCATATCGTTTAAATAAACTAACAATCAATTAACTAAAACCACATAAACGATAAAGTTTATATCAAAGCTTAAACAAATAGACGGATTCATAACGATATAATGGCATTGATGTGTATTTGTTTTGTTGATTGATGTTGCAGTAATTTGAGGTCGTGATAGCATAATTTATTCGTGGGTAGTTGCGTAATTAATATGTACTTACGTTACATGAATGTATTGCTTGTGCTAGAAGGTAACGCTATTGTGTAGTAAAATGTAATGGACGGGTGCCAATACAAATGTACTGGCCATAAATCAATCCCATTTTTATGAGTACTGGAAATCTCAAGACAGGCTATTTTCAACTGCAGTT